ACCATTAAGCGGCGTGATACTCCCATACAAATCACGTCGATCTGCGATTTATGGTCCGTTCACTCCCTCCCCTACTTCGCGCTATCGTGTTATCAGTCTCGCCAGTTACAGTACCCGAAACGAGATTCGGTTCTGAAAATACTCTGTTTTCACGCTGTCCGTGCCGTGACTCTTTCCTTCAATATTAACCTGTTAACTAGGGAAAACTAGTCGGCTGCTCGTCGATCTTGCTTGACTTCACTTTTCAGTAATTTCGTTTCCCTTTTTATACGGGTGTTAACATTTACATTTTAAATTATAATTCCAAGTGGTGACTGAATATAATGCACATATATTTATTATTCGACAATTTTAAGGATGAATAGAGAGATATAACTATTACTGAATATTTCGTTTAATTTTAGGGTAGTGGATACAGTAGTTCACTAAGTTTAATTATATCGGTTTTATACATCTTAAGATAAACCTTTGTGAATGTTGATGCTTGTGAATTCATTCGGTTAACAGGTTAATACCGTTCATGTTTTATTTGTGATGTTCCCGTCAGAGCTATATGATTGTGTTACACGTCGGACGTTATTTCAGTAATAGTTCGAGTACATTTTTATTTATTTGTTACCTGAACCACGAGAATATTTCGATGGCTGTATTTATTCGACGCTTTTAAACGGTTTAATTAGTCGTTACACAAATTCATTCGAAGCTTTTCCTTTGATTCCCACGGAACTCTTTCACTTCGAGCTTACCTTTACGATTTAATGTTTCATTTGACGCATGTCGACTCGCTAACCGCGTAACGCAAGCACTGCAGGAAGAGCCACTAACCCAATTAACCCGAAGCTGGCTTTAGCGACGTACTGTAATACTTCAGGTCCCGCAGAAAATTTTCAGCTACTTTCGTCGATTCCTTCCTACGTATATTCAACATTTCCGAAAACTTATTTCTTTCACGCGGACTTGCAGCAGCGTTTTAAAATTAGAGTTAAAGAGTTCCTTATCGTATATAGTCATTACGACCTTGTGTATCTCTTAAATTTGTATGAACTGCTGATTAATCTCGAAAGAAAGTACTGTCTTAATCATATACGAAGATAAAAATTTCTTATTAGATACAAAATAATTTTGAATTTTATTCTTTCTGCCCTCAGATCATACGAGGTGTTAAAAAAGATAAATTATTAAATTTAAAGAATATAGAACACAACAAGAAATGTTTTACAAATCGTGTAAGAAATCCAATTGTTACGTTTCCCTTAAATCAATTTAGAGGTGTATTGAGTATCGGAACTATAACAATTTTCGCCAAATTCTTGAGGCCTGTTTTCTAAACAACTCCACCTCGTATCCATTTATTTTCGATGCGTTTCACCGGGGATCGATGGCTCGTCACCCCTTTGATCCCGAAGTCCTTGGAAATTTCGAAATCATTCCCGCACACACAAACCACGCAGGCGCTTTTGTGCGATCCGAACAACTGCTATAATTTACTGGCGTGCATTCCCGTTTTCATTCTCCGCTTTTCCCCACCCCTTTACTCCCTACAGTACCTACCTACCCAGGCCGGTTTTCTGTTTCCCGAGCTGCATTTTCCACGACGATGTTCCGTGCCGCTAATGTTCCGATGGTCCGCCTTTGGCGCGCGCAGACCGACTTTAAACCATTTACCGGGATCCCTTGTGCGATATTTTTTTCTTTGATTCCGATGTTAAAGGCTCCCGCTTGCGTTAATGCACACGCCGTGCCGCGCGGCATGTTTATTTCGCGAGTGCCGAGCCCCGGGAGAAAAAAGTTGCGTAACATCAGACCGACCGTATTCATCGACGTCACAAAACACGCCGGGATTTTCCGCGAGCCGTTTAAAAAGATCCACGAGTTTTGTTGTCGCGGAACGAAGAGCATGCGCGCGCGAGTGAGCGAGCGGCGAACCCTTTCTTTGTGGATATAAATTTCTCTGTTATCGAGCACGACGCCGAGTAATTAATTCCCGTGGATTAGCGTCATTGTTGCGAGCGCGAGATCAGAATAAATCGGTCATAAATATTGATCTTTTACCCGTGTAAGTGTCGATGCACGATTTTATTGTTCCGCCCACGGATTTATCGAAGGAGAGATTTTTAGTTCCCGGCAAATTGCGTCGTTATTCTCTTTACGCGCGGCGTTTCGGGGGACGATGCGTACTGGTCAAAATGAAAAACGCGCTTTTGTCAGTTATTTTCAACAAACATTTGCCTTGTATAATTAAAATCGACTATACAAACTGACTCATTTTGAGGCGAAATAATTATTCTACTAGAAAACGGAAATTTCGATTATTTACCGTAAATTATAGTAAAAAGCTATGTGTTGAAGATTTATTTGATAACAAAACAGAACGGCTTTCACGGAATAAAGATTCAATGTTTCTGACCGATAGCGTTCAACGATAAATCATGAAATCATCTTCCATATGAGAATCACTTAGACGTAGTTTCATCGGAAGATTACAGTTTTCGTTTTTATTAAATTGTTGTTATCAGCTTTAGATTTCCACGATCAAGAAATACTGCTGTTTCCTGAACCAACGAAAGATCAAGAGCATTTACATAACACGGAATGTTCGCGTGCTTATTATCGAGTATTTTCCTTGTAATTGTGCGGCGATGGAATTAAACGCGATTCATTTCCAAGGAAAATATCAAGAAATAATAAGAGACATTTCGCGTAGACAACACTTTAATTATAAATACAAACTTCGATGGTTTCTCGGCGAAGAGCAAATCGATTCTTGTATTTATAATTTCAGTGCACCCTGCACAAGTTCACGGGCGAATTTCGTTGAATATATTTTTTTGCTATTCATTTCTTCATCCCAACCGTCTCCGTATTTTATTTTTCTCCCACGTTTCTCAGCACTCTTCTTGTTCTTTATTAATGTTAGGAATGCCGGCAGTGTACTACCACGGAACCGGAAGCGACAATGCGAGCCGCGCGTATACGGAGACATCGATGCAACACGTCCAACGGGCTGCAATCCGGAAGAAATGTATGAAGTCGACATTCACTCTGGACTGGAAATAACGCACCACACCTTCTCTTTCCTTTTTAATCTGTTTATCTTTCTGTTTTTCCAATTCTTCTACGTGTATCTGTCTCTTCTACTTCCTGAACTCTATTTTCTTTATCGATATATTTTTTTTCCTTTATGTCTGTGCGGAGTGTTTCGCGCAATTAGGTTTAGTTGTGTCTTTAACACAATTAAAGATGGGAAAAAGGTTACAAATAACATGCTTCAGATACAGCATATTCTAGAAACGAGTTCACACGTTTACGTCGAGGAACTGTAACTTTTTTCAACGGAAACCTACACCTTTTTCATACATTAAATGATATAATCTTTAAATGCAGTGTAGGCTACACGAATCTAAAGAAAGTAATTAAAGTGTATTTAAAGCGTGATGGATTTAAACACTTCTTATAACGCGAAATAACTGTTAAAGTAACAGAATTGAAAATTTGGACACCTTTCCGTTGTTGTGTACAAGATTAAATGCGAAGATTAAAGCATATAAAAGTGTAGAATTATATTTATAAAAATATGTAATAGTTGCATTATTTTCAAGGATACGCTGCATTCGAAACCACTTAAGTTTGCCTCATGATCTTTTTTCACTCTCTAATCGTTTCAAAGACGCAATCAGTCCTAGTTGCGTGGGACGCTCTGTCGTAAAATACCGATCATTATTAATTCAATTGCCGCCGATGATTTCGCTCATGGTTTTACACGCGTCAGCCCAATTATCGTTCTCGACCGTCCCTGATTCGCATTGTTCAATGGGATTCATACGATCCTCTAGCATCGTCGGCGGCGCGGACCAGCAAATAATAGTATCGATGGGCTGAACGTTCAACTCGAATCGGGGATGAACACCATCGTAACCCATTGGGGCGGTCGATAGTCATGGATGCTATTATTACAGGACAAATATTTTACGTGCACTCATCATGTCCGTGCGAACGCGATATTCAATCTGTTCAACCCGACTTCGAGGAATCGCCGTACAAATATTCCGCGACGCTCCCCTACTGAAGAATAGTTTCCAATAACGAAAGAACCGCAATTGTTCAGTTCAGATTTTAACTGGTTCCTTTCGACGGATAATGTAAAACTTTTTAATAATATCTGCAAAATATTAAACGCAGTTACGCAGTAGATTTGAAGATATGAAGTAGTAAAATAAATCAAAGTATTCTGGTAAACGAGTATTATAAAACGAAATTTCACATTATAATATGAAAATCAACCATCTATGCAAACGCTGTTTCAGTAACTTTGAGTTGCAATCATACTTTGAAAACACATAATTTTAATCGTTTATATCTTGAGGACTATCGAAACAATTGCATTTAATATTTTTCATATTTCGTTGGGAACTTATGAATTTTCTACCAAGAACACATTAAAATCGAGGTCGCAATTGAGTTTCTTTCTTTACAAGTAATCGGATCGGTAGAATCGTTACCGTTTTTTTCGCAAATTCGATTTCCAGTTTACGTTTGAATATCGTGCGTACGTGAATGTCGGGCCGTATTTCTCGTCTCCGATTTCCTGTGAGCGAGAAATTTGGGACGTGGAGGAGGGAAAAATAGAGAACGAAGGAAAAAACAGAAAAAAGTGTAATTCGGGGGAAAGAGTAAAAAAGCCGGGGAGCAGAAGGGAAGAACCGGTGCCGGTTGTTCGATCGTGATGTTCATGATCAGAGAGGCACGCAACGAAAAGCAACACACATGGAACAGTCACGTCCGCGCTTTGTCCGTCCTCTCGGAGGAACCAACCTTTGACGTCAGATTTTGTGTTCGTTCGTTTTTAATTAGCCACAAGCGCACCGGCCGTGATTTGGCGGTCGACGATCGGCGGCCGCCGGTGAACGAGAGCAAGACGTAGCGTGAAACGCGCGTACACGTCAAATACGTTCTACGACAGCTAAGCGCGGAGCAGTTGTGATCAGAGTTTTATGTTTCAGTGGATCTAACCAACGGACAGCTCACCCCCAACAACAACACGCCCTTGCTCACGCAAGCACTTTCTGGTACGTCTACAAGTTTTCCATTCTTCTAGGCTTCGATCCTACCGCTTTCTTAATTTGTCTCGCCTTCGACTGTAAACAAAAAGACAACAGAAACAGAGAGGTGTAGAACAGGACCCGTCTAATTTATACAGGATGTACCAGGCTTTTTTCGACAGATAAATTACATATTTTAGATAAAAAGGAGAAAATACAATGTCGTATAAAGTTTGTTCATAAATTCTTTTTACGAGGTTATTGATAACAACTGTTATATGGATGTAGAAGATTAACTATGTTTGATTCAGTATAGATATAAATTATACAAATAATTTTGTAAAAAGGCATTTATGGATAAACTCTGTATAATCGTTTTTTCCTGTTTTTATCTAAGTAATACGATCACGTAATTCGTCCTGAAAAGCCACGACTACCTTGTATATATACAGATCATAAAACTATTTGTACTTCTTTTCTCGTAATGACTGCACATAAAAAATAGCTCATTTCTGTAATCTAGACATTTCAGTGTCAGTTTACTACAAAAAGAAAACGATTACTCATTTTTAGAAACGTGAACAAAGTTCTGTTAAAAATAACGTAGAAAGAAAAGACACTTTCAAAGGTTGAAAATATATTTATAAGACTACAGTTTGATAAAATAAGATCTCAGTATATGTAAATGGTTTTTAATTTCATTTTATAAAATATTATTAAACGTCCGATCATTCTACCAGCCGACAGTGTTCAAATACTTACCGCAAGATTTCCCCTTTCATTTTTCAACGAAAAGTTATTACTTACGTTTCTCGAAGTTCATATTGTTTTCATACACAACGGAACACTAACAAGTCCAGACTGCATCGGTGAGTTACTCTGTTGCAAGAAAGTTATTGCGATGAAAACGAGCGTACAAAGATAGTTTTTTGACCGGGGCTAGATAAGTACGTACAGATCAGAATGCACGGCCAATAGGTTCGCTGGGTACGACGCACGGTTTCCGATTCTTGATAGCTTTTCATTATCGAGTCACGCGATAGAAACGAAAGGCAATATACGACGGCCGAGCACGACGATACAGCTCCGGCGGCTTCTTACGAGAGACCTTCGTGATTGCCAGATCGAGACATTACGATATACCAGCCGGATTCGGTATTACGGCGTTTGCAACGGGACTGAAACTCGTGTAATTCAATCCTCTTTCGTGATTCGATTCTCGAGCTTTAACCGAAACAAGCTTTGCATTACCCCGTAATGGCAAATTGCAACCCTAATTCGGCTCCTTCGTATTTCGAATCGTAAATGAAAGCACGTTCGCTCGCGCGAGTAAAGTGCAACGTCGCTGTTCAAGGAACTTCCTGAAGCTTAGCCATGGCGGATGCACGGTTTCCGTGCTGGAATTATTTCTTAGCTGGGTAGATCATGTCGCGTTCTATCCACGATTCGGTGAACTGTCACTGTGATGTCGTGCGAACGATTGAAACGACAGAGGGCGGACAAAATTGTGTTTCAATATTCGTTTCTTGATGGATCAATAAGCGCTCGCGTCCCTGGGTAGCGACGTGTTTCAGAGTGTTTGCATGATATTCGTACAGTTCCTCGTTTTCCGTCTCTACGAATAAACTCGGAAATACTCATTCTTAGAACAGTGTGATTTAATATTTATTATATATAATAGTTAAATTCAGAGACTAAATTAGGATAAACTATTGTAAGAATCCTTAAAGCCTTTGTTATTTTCACTCAGATGTAACATTGCTCCAAAAATGATGAAACATAAAATTGGTATGTTGCTAACTGGCAAACAATTGCGTTTAAGGGTTAAAATTTAATAATCTCACGGGTCAGCTTCGGCCAGCGATATTCCAGAAGGAACGATGCCGCAGAACGTCCTCGAGGTTAGACCGCGCGTGAAAAATTTATGATCAGAGTACTCCTAAATAAGTAAAAGAGACCATCGCGATTCTTTCTAAAATTCTTTCCCAGGAATCCGCGGCAATTTCTCGAAAATGGTTGAACCGCTTTTCATGACACGTATCCTGAAAGGACTTCCCTCTTAACTGACAGAAGGTAAAAAGTGTCGCGTCGCGTTAGATACGGGTGAAACGATTCAGTAAGGGTTGGAAGGGGCGGAGGGCCGGACACGGAATTCTGAAAAGTGTCGCGCGTGTAGGGCAACGAAAGGCTAGCAGCGAAATAACGCCAACATCGCATCGCGGGGCGAAACACTTTTCTTTTTTTATTCTCCCATCCCTACGGTCGCGGAATCTAGCCTGATCCGCTTGGCCCGCTCACCTCGCTTCCGCCCACAGCGCGCGCTCGCCGCCAGCAATCTCCTCTCAAATAAATCAAACTTTTGAGTCGCGCTCGGCGCCCACCCCATCGACGAATCCGGCCACCGCCGGCAGAAAACTTTGTAACCTGCCGCCATTGTCCGGAGTTTAAAAGCTGAATGGGGTTTTAGATTGTACATCGAGCGCTTTCGGTTTGTCATACTCCGCCCTCTGACTTTTCTTCGAGCGAGTTTCAAATTCTTTGCGTTCCTCTCCCCAATCTCATCCCCTCTCACCGTCGTTTCTTTTTCTTCTCCTTCTCACTCTCACTCTCACTCTCTTTATCGTTTTCTTCGTTTCCCATCCTTTCATTCGGCTTCCGTT